ATTTCAATAACCATTTTGGAAGTGTTTTCCAAACTTTTATAAAAATTCAGAAAAAAACAAAACAAAATATTATCATTACAATTCCCCCACACCTTTGGGTGATGCCCCTGCAAGGCCCTCAGTGAGATTAATGTCTCCTCCCAAGGGGTTAAGTAACATTGATCATATTTTGAAAAAAAAATTGTGTTTAGGATTATCAGATGGTTTCAACAAAAATACCTGACACACTTGACATTACATCACAATCTACATTACATCTTATATAGAAAATACCAGACATTTATATCTTCTCAATTTGTTTTCCAAACAGAAAGCTCAGATACTGGACTCTCTGGTTCAAAACTGGACACCTGGCAACCCTAATTGTGTTAGAAAAAAGGACATTTTTCAACAATAACAACAAACCTGTAGTTTGAAAAATATAAACCAGCTCTGCTCAAACTGCAGAATTAGGACACTGACAGTAAAAGGTGCTCAAGAAGTTGCATTTGCCCATGAAAACATGTTGTTATAATGATAAATTATTATAATTTTAGCTTGTGAGTAATACTTTTGGCTTGAAATTATTAGTATCATCATCTATGTTGCCATAGTGCCTAGAAGCCAAGGGCACTATTGTGCTTGGCACTGTACAAACACAAAGAACATGAAGATTCTTTCTGCCTCAGAGAGTTTACAATTTAGGGGCTGGTCTGCACTACAAAGTTATGTCAGCTTCACCACATCGTTCAGGGGCAACAGCTGTGAAAAATTTCACACACTGAGGGACATAATTAAGACAACCAAAGCCCCCACTAGACACTGCTATGTACAGGCAGTCCCCGACTTACGCGGATCCGACTTATGTCGGATCCGCACTTACGAACGGAGCTTTCTCGCCCCGGAAGTCGGGGCGAGAAAGCCCCGTTCGTAAGCTGCTCCGGTGCCCCTGGTCTGCTGGAGACCGTCTCCAGCAGACCAGGGGCACCGGGCGGGTTCCCGCGCTTCTGAGGCTTTGCCAGCAGACCACAGGCACCCAGATTGAAGCGGCAGCAGCGGCGGTTCCCCGCGCCTCTGAGGCTTTGCTTGTGTGACTTCTTGCTGGCCAGAGTGGCAGCTGAAGTGTTTGTTGTGATAGAGGATGGACCCCAGACTTGGGCTGTAAGTAGCCTTATTTCTAAGCAATTCACCCTGATTTGGCCCTCTCAGTGGTGCTCCCAGACCCGGTTATATTACACATGTTCAGTGTAGGAAAGCATCCGAATGTTTTTGCACCAAACACCTCAGAAAGAAGTATTAGGCCAAACACCGGCAAAGGCTTTCTTAACACACTGACATTGACTTCAGTAGGATGCCTGATAGTACATCAGATTAAGCTAACAAATAAATCTTTGAAGGCTTTGGGTTTCGAGCTTCATATTCATCTTAGTGCATACACGTTTTAATTCAAAATGGGGGTCCTCGAGTTGCTAAAGTTCAAGAACTACTGCTCTAGGCTATAGAGGGTTCAAGAAGGTGTCTAATGGTGTCTGTGTTAGTGCCCCAGACATTTTAGGATAACTCGGCTTGCGCTGTTCAGTTTCAGCAGCGGCTGCATCAGGACGCCTGGGGCAGAGCAGACGGGGTGCTGCTGGGTTGGTCCAGTAGCACCGAGGAGCAGCGCTACTGGAGTAACCCAGCAGCACCCCAGCTGCTCTGCCCCAGGCGTCCCCAAGTCAGCTTCTGCTGAAACTGACCAGCGCTGACTACAGGAAGCCCCAGGCAGAGTTGCTCTGCCCCGGGCTTCCTGGAATCAGCTGCTGATCAGTTTCAGCAGCAGCTGACTTGGGGACGCCTGGGGTTCTTAAGTTGATTCTGTATGTAAGTCAGAACTGGCGGTCAGTTTCAGCAGTGTCTGAATCTGGACGCCAGTTCCGACTTACATACAGATTCAACTTAAGAACAAACCTACAGTCCCTATCTTGTACGTAACCCGGGGACTGCCTGTACATGGGAGAATTCTTCTGTCAAACTAGCTACTGCCTCTCAGAGACATGGATTCATTAAAGCAACAGAAGAACCTCTTCTGACTCTGCAGTAAGTGTCTGCACTTCAGTGGCAGAGTTGAGGTGGTACTACTGTAACATTTCTACAGGAGACATCGCCTGTAAGCTTCTTCCTTTCATCTTTAACACAAAACTTGCTATTACAAATATTCCCAAACTCCAGGCCAACATGTCTTAACTTGCATATGTAGGCTTTACTTGCATCCTATTGGTTTGGGCATGAGAAGAAGAAAGCAGTTTCTCCACCAGGTTGCTGGTATCTTTGTGATGTTACCACTCTTAGGGAGAGAAACAAATAAATAAATTCAGGTGGTTATTTCCTACTGAGTTGACTTTGTCATTGGACTGCCTATGACTGCTCTGTGCTGCCCTATATCTTATCAGGCACTTGAGCCACTGTGATTAGCAGGAGCCACTTGCTACCCAGGCGGTAGATTGGCTTATCTTGGAAGTGGTTCTGTGTAGAGATGGGGTAGGATAGAAGATATGGAAAAGGGTGAATGAGGGTCCCCCAGCAGCTGAACAATGAGGCGTTTCCCAGGAAGTCTGTGTGGGCTAAGAGCTAGAGAAGGGGTCCAGACAGTGCTCCTTAGGAAGGGAGTTTGGGGCATTGTACTGAAGGGCTCCCAGTGGGGGGTTGCTGGGTGTCTTAGGAATAAGGTGGAAGGGGTAGGTGCCCAATGGAAGGGGGGGGGGTCATTTTGCAGCAATGCTGGGTGAGTCATGGGGGAAGGTAAGGTGAAAATTTCCCTGGAGTTCTGGGGATGAGTTGGGGGCAATGCTGGATGAGTCAGAGGCGAGAGTGCAAGACAGGGGAGCATTTGCTAGAGGTGCTGGTGGAGGGGGTGAGGGTTATTCCCAGTGTGGAGGAGAGGGGCATTTTCCAAAGGTGTTGGGGGGCAGGACGGTCCCAGTGTGGGAGGAAGGTGGATGATTCCCTAGAAATCATGGGAGGAGGGGCGAGTTCACAATATGGGGGAAGTGATGAATTGCCCCAGGGTGTGGGGGAAGAGCTCTCAGGGGTCCTTGGAGGTGATATGGGGTGATAGGTTCCTGGGAGGGGGCATCACCCTCTGAGAGGGCCCTAGAGGGTCACAGCCCTGGGAGGGGATGGTTCCCATGGGCTGACAAGGGACATTGGGCACAGCGCTGAGAGGTGGGGGGGCCTCTGGGGGTC